CCCCCTCTCGCGAACCCTTCACATTTGTCTCCCAGCTGCTCTCTCGTGCAAAATTACATTTGTCTCCCAGCTCTGGGCTGCGTGTCGCTTGCAATCCTTTACATTGTCATTTGTCTTCCTGTGTCTACATGTGTCTCCCAGCTCTGGACTGCTGTGTCAGTGTCCGCCTCTGCCTTGCAATCCTTTACATTTGTCTCGCAGCGCTGGGCTGCTGCACCCCCTCTGCCATGCAATCCTTAATTTTACATGTGTCTCCCAGCTCTGACTGCTGTGTTTTTTCGCCTTTTGCCTTGCAATCCTTTACATGTGTCCTCACAGGCCTTTGCATGTGTCTCCCAGCTCTAGACTGCTGTATCCGCCTCTGCCTTGCAGTCCTTTATTTGTCACACAGCTCTGGGCTGCATGTCGCCTGCAATCCTTCACAGTTGTCTCCCTGTGTCTACATTTGTCTCCTGGACTGCTGTGGCCGCCTCTGCCTTGCAATCCTTTGTCTCCCAGCTCTGGACGTCGCAAACTCTAGTTGCAGAGTGTTCCGATATTGAAAAACACAAACTGTTTGGGGTCTACGGTGGTGTCATTTTTATGTTTTTGTCTGAGGTGATCAGCTCCTATGTTGTCCACAAGCCATCAGGACCCACGGACCCAACTGCTCTCCACGCTTCCCGACAGCCCCCTCTCTCCAGAAAAAGGCTGAGCCACAAACTTGCACGCAGTGCCCTTGGTGCCCTTGGTGTTGGCGCGCAGACATTGGCTTATGTCAGCTGTTTGGTACCAAGACAGGGGTTGTCAAGCTCTCATTTTGGAATCAGAGAAGTGACTGCGTTTTGTATCATTGTGCCTTTCTTTTTCTTTAGTTTGCAAGCATCCTGTAAGTTTATGTCTCTCATCCTTAGTAGCCAATCTATTGAAGGGCAAGGCTGTTGGATGTTGATTGGTTGCCATGGCTACACTGCATGAAGTAGCACCTATTGGGGGTGTGGCTAAGTCATGTCTTCGCCCACTGGATTCGTCATGGGAGGGTCTAAGCATTTCTAAGCCCATTTCCTCGTCTCTGGGCAAACAACATAAGCCAGCTTGCAGACCATGTGCCATGGAGCGGCGACGTTTTGCTTATTTGGAGACAGAGGCGGCTCAGGCTTTTGTTGGGCCTCCAGCTGCTAGCGAGCATAGTACATCGCTGTGCAGATTGAGCAAACGGCTTGCAGTTCTCGTTTTTGTGTCTCTTCAGGGGCTTTTGATCACTCCACATCTCTCATACCTTCTGCAAGAGAACCTTGAAGCTTGGTGAGCAGTCAAACACGACCTTGAAGCCTGGTGAGCAGTCAAACACGACCTTGAAGCCTGGTGAGCAGTCAGATGAGTCTGTTTGGTTTGCCCTGCGCAGTTGTAGCTTGAGGAAGGCCACCATGGCCAGTGTGGTGGATGCTGCAGATTCAAATCACCTGGTAGTGATCTTTGGAGACGAAGAGCATGTTGGAGCGGATGGGAAGTACAGTTTTAATCGAAAGCTTTGGGAGTGTTATCAAGCCAAAAAGGGCGTGCCCGTGCGTTTCTTGGACCCACGCTGCTTCCGCAACTGCCTATTTTCCGAGCTGATGATGTTGCGCGTTTGCGCTATGCACCACTTGCTGCAAACCTTTTTACAGGAGGGTCAGAAATTGGCAAAGAGTTTAGGACTCCGCAAAGTACCCCGCTGGGTTTTCCAGGTGGATGGCGATACGATCATGGTAAATCAGCAGCTGCATTAGCGGCGCTTCACGAAGGCCTGGACCCGTCCCGTGGTGCTTTACGAGCGCTTTCACAATGGGGAGATCTGCGCTGGCAACTTCGCCCTGCAGGTGTCGAATGCCTCAGTGGACTTCACGCACGGCTGGCTGCAGCAAGCACCGCTACTCAAGAGCGCCAGGTACAACAACAGGGACAACGGTCTTTCACTGGCAGGATCCCAGGGTTCTTCCCAAAGTTGGATGTTGCTGTTTGTTGCGCTTTGAAAGTCCAAGGGCTGCTATTAGGTTGGAGGCCATTTTTGGGGGCATGTCTGGACGAAGGTCTTGAACTTTTTGCACCTGGAGCCGAACCAGAGCAAAGTCTTGCAGGCTTGGTACAACTCCAAAGACATCCAAACCTACGATCACTTCGTCGCGCGCTTCAAAATGGTGACTTGGTTTTATATGGTGTCAACAGTGTGGGGTCAAACTGAGCTGAAAGAAATCATTCGACCTTGGCTGAGGGAATATTGTAGAAGTACAACGTGATTAGAACCTAGAACCATATTCCCAGACTCAGGGGACCCAGATGCTTCGGGACCCTATATATGGCACGCTTTTGAGACTGAAGTTTAGCTTGGGTTCTTGCTTATGGTTCAATTTACAGACCTCGCGCCCAAACTCGTGGAATCGTTTTCCTGATGGTCCCACAAACAACTGTTGCACATGCGAGGGTGTCAAAAAGGGCCCTCCAACCCCAAGGGCCGAATGGTTTTCCATTATTTGGTTGAGGTTCCACGAGGTTCCCATTCTCGCACATCACCCAAAAGAATGTTTCTTTGGTCAACAGCTGGACAGTACTGTAGGCTCTTGGACGCCGAAGAAAATTCGATCAGCTCTTGATCCTGCGGCGGGGCTTGGGTTTCTGTGCTGATGACGTGACACCTGTTTTCAAGTCTCAGCACTACCTCTGTGCCTGAGCTGCAAAGCGAGCATCGAAACCACAGGCCCATCGCAAAGCATGCCATCCCGTTTTGAATCTAACAATAAGCTACTAGGAACAAGTGCCACGCTACTAGTAACAGGTGCCTTACTAGTAGTAACAAGAAGCTATTAGAAACAAGTGCCTTACTAGTAGGAGCAAGAAGCTACTAGGGGCTCGTGGCCTTACTAGTAGTAACAATGTGGCTATTAGAAACAAGCAAAACATCATCATCTTCATTTTTCTGTTCGGGCCCTGGCCAGCCCTTTGCCTCCAGGTTATCATGCCGTCAAATCCCGAGCTCAGTTGGTGAAGGAGGCAAACGGCAATGAGACCTGTGTGAACCAATCTTTACAATGCCTCCTCTCCTTTGGCGACTGTGTAGCTTCCAATGAGACGAAGTTGCAACATGCCCTGCGCGCGAAAGAATTCCAAAGGGCTGGCCTTGGGGGGCTCAACGACATCGCCACATGCTGGCCGGACTGCCCACGCAATCTTCCTGAATCACAGTGGACACGGATGGCCAAAGGCCTCCGTGAGGCTGGGAAACTCCTATATACACATGTGTAGCAACCCGCTTTTTAAAGTCCCAGTAGTGCATGGCTACAATCGCTGGAGCCAAAGATCTCAAAGTTGAAGCAAGTGTTACTCTTCTGTTTGTACTGCTTGCATTCGCCTTATACTTCAAAGCAAGTTGGTGTGTTTTCATGCTCTTGCAATCTGAATTTTGGACATATAAATGCATTCCGCGTTCTTACATCATCTTATATCCAATATTACTTTTCTTGGCCAGTCGCTCTCCACGTGGTTCACCACTCAGGGAAAGAGCATGCTAATCAAAGCAAAAGTTGCATGTTGCAAGCAACAATTGGATTCCAAAGCATGTGCCAAGCATTTAGCATTGTTAAATATATATATATACAAAGTTGACGTCCTGACACCTTTATGTGGACCGTCCAGTCTGACATGCGAACGAGAAGACAGAAGACACACATGGGTCACTCGAATACCTTTATTATCCTCTATTATCCTTAGAGCCCCAATTCCACTGCATTTCGCATTTGCACTTTTCTGATCGGCTTTGGACATTTGCCCTCAGAGTGCATGGCGCCTGGAGAGGAGCAGGATTTGCGTAGTTTTGTCGGGCCCCCAGTGCTTGTGGGATGCAACCAGACGAAAGTTAAGAAAACCAATGTTTTTTCTACCCGACTCAAAGGGCAAACGGTGAAGCAAACTGCAGGGAAAGGGTCAAACCGTTCTATTGGGTCATCAAAGTCATCGATTTTCTTTGTGGCTAGTCGGCTAGTCCTCTCAATTTTGTGTCCTCATCAGAACGTACTAGTCTTAAAAAGTGTGGCCAGCCAGTAAATACTCTTCCTGCATGCTCATACCTGCGCATATTTCTGGAGCTATGACTCGAATTCTATGCTTGGAGGTGTCTCCACATCCCAACATAGGCCTAATTGCCCTAACTTCTTCGAGTGAGATTGAGGTTGCAAGTTCGTGTCCTTAGAGGCCCATATGTGGAGAACAATTTCAACCTCTTTGCTTCCATTTCTGCAGATGCACTCTGTGCATGTCGTCTACAAATCTTTTTCCCTTCCCTTGTGCCAGCTTCCTATAATAACTATATTAACTATATTCGAGTTTTCAATGTGTTGTAGTGCAAGAAATGTTGCGAAAGGAAATCTTGAACTTGACCCTTAGATTTGTTAGCGCGCCCCTGCGATTCTTTTCTCCTCTCGATGTGCACTGTAGCTGAAGGCGAAGGTCCTGTTGTTCGTACGGTACTCTCAGCAACGACCCAAAGTGCAGAAGTTTTGACCAAAGGAGTATAGACGCGCTCGGGTGTGAACGTCACAGTCGTGCGTCGTTTCAAAGCGTGTTGCAAGACAAAACTCTTGACATTTGCAATCAACCCAGCTTTGCAACCCAACAGCAGGCAGCAACTCAATTGACTGGAACTTTTCAAACACTCCAACTATGCGTTGCTAAAGCTCCATTGTGAAATGTAATGGGAACTGACTGGGGAGCAGGAAACAAAACGGGAGCAGGAACTGGGGTCCGGAGCAGGCAGGATAAAAGCGCATCAGAACAAAAATGTGGTTCCCAGCACAAATGCATGTTGCTAAATACCCACAAAGGGCCTGTTGCCTAGCTGCGCATAAAGCATGTTTTGCACGACAGCTGTTGCCGTCGCACACAAGCCCGTGGCACAGCTGCAAAACGCACAAAAGCTGTTGCTTGCAGAAACGTCCTTCGAGGTACGCGCTACTACCTGTGGCCTTGCTGCGCATATGGCGCTGCGACGAGAGATAGCTTTGTAGCAGCGCAGCCGAAGAAACCGTTGCCAGGCGTCCTGCTAAGTACAGGCAGCTGCCTGTGGCAAAGACGTGCATAGAACGCTACAGCTGCAAAAGCTGTTGCTGGCGAAGAAACGCGCTGCTAGGTACGAGTACACGCAACTGCCTGTGGCGTTGCTGCACGAAAAATACAGTATTATTTTTTTTGCGTTTGCTCCACGGTGGAGGCAGGGGTGGCAGGGACAGTCGCCGGCCAAAATATGCGCTGCTAGGTACAAGCAGCAGCCTGCAGGTTTCCTGCGCGACCTGCGTCGTAGCAGCGGTTGCAGAAACGTCCTGCTAAGTACACGCAACTGCCTGTGGCAGTGCAGCGCGTCTAACTTTGCGGAAGCTTTGCAACAGAGGCAAGATGCACACCACAAGTCCAAAAGCTGTTGCCGGCGTTGAAAGCTTCTTTGGAGGTAGCGCAACTACCTGTGGCCTTGCTGCGCATACAATATGTCTGGTGCTGCGGCGAGAGATTGCTTCGGAGCAGAGAAGCTGTTGCGGTTGCAAAATGCTCACCAGACACGTGCACCTGACGACGTTTGCAGGCGCCATTCTGAACACAGCCCTTAACAGCAACACCAAGGTGATAGGCGCCAGGATTCCAAGGTCCAGGATTTCGGACGCCGGCTTCGAGAAATTGAAACCCAACTGTGCCCATATTCAATGCCATGCAGGTCGAACCAGCCTCAAATCCAGACAGCAAAACCTAAAGTGCAAACAGATCAACACCAGCTAGGTTGACTCCAAGCACTGCCACCAAATCGCAGTCTCAGGATATCCCCGATACGTTTGCTTGTCTGCCCTGCCCCCTAAGCGGTTTTCAAGCCTTGTAGACAAAGTGCGCCCCAGCCCAGACAGCACGCAAGGCTCCATAATTTTCCACTCATGATGAATTCCCGCAAAGAAACAAATGCTGTATATATCTGTATATAAAGTTATATATATATATATCGGAGATATCTTAGGGCTATGATTTTGGTGGCAGTGCTTAGTGTCGTGGCTTGGAAACTGGCTGCCTTGATGTCTTTACACTGTAGATTTTTTTTGCAGCTTGTTTCGTTTTCAGGCTAATCTGGCCAGTCTTCTCATGGAACATGGGCACAAACCAATTAGAGTAGAGCAGAGGATCCAAATAAACTTTCTGTATTCCTCTTGATATGTACAGTGTCTGATCTTCATACCTATATTCCGAACAGCATCATTCTGCGGCTGGGTTTCAATCTCCACACAGTTGCTCCACACGGCTCCAAAACTGGAATTCCGTCCTGGAACCCTAGGTGCTGTCTGGAATGCTGAGAGTGGTGTGCCTGTCTCGACACCTTTCTGGAATCTTAGGTGCTGTCTGGGGCGGCGAGTGGTGCACAGCTTGTCCAACCTTGGGAACCGGCGCTCATCCAGGAACCCTGCATGTTGTGTGGAACCTTGGGCGCTGTTTGGGCTGGTAGCGGTGCGCAGTCTGAAGCGGAATTTCATCGTGGCTGGCTTTCTGGAACCTCCGGTGCTGGGCAATCTGTTGGCAGGGCTTGCAAACCGGAATTCCATGTCGAATTCGGCGTTCTTTGGAGTCGACAGGGCTTGAAAACCGGCGCAGCTTACAAGGATAGAATTCCAGCATTCAACGGACTGCACTCTCACCCCGCACAGCACCCAAGGCTCTGGCGCCCCGTGGACCAACTGTGACTCCCAGCCCCAGAGATTGACACCCTGCATTCTGCTGTTGGGATTTGCAATCAATTCACTTCCGATGGACATTTACAGAACTCCAGACTCGGAACGACATCGCCACGCGCTGGCCGGATTATCCACGCAGCCTTCCTGAATCACAGTGACAAGAATGCCAAAGGCCTCCGTGAGGGTGGGGAACTCAATGACAGGTGTAAATAGCATGACATGACAGGTGCACCTCCAAAAGTTGAAACTGCTTAATTTGTCCGTGGCTACTTTAGCTGCAGCCAAAGATCTCAAATTGATCCTTGGTTTTTTGTGATGTTATATGTAAAAAGTATACCTGTACAGTTTGTACTGTCTGCATATGCTACTTTGAAGTAAGTTAGAAGGATTTTTTGGACAATCTTGCAGTCTTGATATTCACCACATTCTGCATTTCTCTATCAGATTTCTTGGCCTTTCGCTCTCCACGGGGATGTGGTCCACCTCAACAGGCAAAGACAATGCCCAAAGGGAGAGCTGCAAGTTGCAAACATCCGTTTGCTGTATGGACACCTTTTATCTTAGACGCAACACGCATGTGGATGAACACCCACACACGCACAGACCCAGTCAGCTCACCCATGCGCCCAGTTTGTTCACTTGTTTTCCAGAAGTTCTAACAAACCATTCATTTGTTGCTGAAGTAGAAAGTGATTGTGACCTGAGGTTCATCGCCAGGCCAACTTCTGAAGATGACAAGATGAAGCCCCTTCATCACTTTGTTTCACGCCATCAGGGATTTGACATGCTAGTTTGAGCCTTAGAAGTCGCAATGCGAGAATCACTCAGCAAGCTTGAACGAGGGGCTAATGTATACTGTTGAGCCTACTGGCAGAACACAGAAGGTCTTCTAGTTCCCTGATGGTTGAAAAGGTTTCCAGCGAGCTTATTCAAATTAATGTAGTCCTCACATAAATTGCTGTGTGAGTGTCGGTCGTTCTCTCTAGCTTTAGCATGCTTTGTGTTGCTTCTTTAGCAGGAAATCGACTCTAAATTCCTGGTATTGCTGCTGATTGTGTTTACCATTGCCATTGAGATTACGTAGCACTAAATGTGACAGCTCGTTATTTAGAAGATGTCATTTGGCATCAGCGGCAAATCTGCAGTGTCACGCATTCTTGGGCGTCGAGCTTGAATTGATTTGCTGAAGTCTTACTTCAGCCCAAGTGCTGCGTGGCACCCTAAGAATCGATAACCACCTTTGTGTATAATTATCCACAAACATAAGCTACATAGTTGGAAGTGTCCCATGATTTGTCAGTTGTTTGATGAAATTGTGGGTGCTCCAACAGCAGCATTGCATGCTGGTGCGGAGTTTTTGGTAAGTCTTAACCAAATCTCAATATGGCGACCTTCATGTGAAACAGCAGAGCTCCGCTTGAACCTCATCAACAGGCCCATCAGACGGATGAGATGTTCTTTTCTCATCGCTATAATTCCGATAGTTGCATTGGATGACAGGATGATTTTGTCGTGCTAACATTCTGGATCAAGACATAAAGATGTCAGCAAGCTAGGGCCACCACCTGTCCAAAGCTTGACTTGCACCAGTAAGCATCTTAGCTGGGGATGGAGTGTGTTGCCAAATTACACTTCTCAAAGTCTGCTTGCTTAAGGAACATCAATGCAGCTCTCAGACGTAGACCGATTTCCCACTGCGCGGGGACTGAGGCAGCCTTTCCCAATGCATTTCTCTCTCAAGGCTGTCTTGCTTGTTGGCCCAGCTGCAGGTATGGGGCTGAGCAACAGATTGCTGTGAACGCAATGGCTGCTCGCCTCCCTCCATCGCTTGAGAACTTGGACGAAGTGCGGCCCAGCTGCAAAACGATGTGTCAACTTCTTCGTAAAAATTGCCGTATAGGCAGCTGGACTACTCCTAGACGATATCCTGTACATTTCTGTGCTTTCGCATTTGTGGCACATTGCCTCACATAGTCTCTTGCGATTCTGCAGCTGCAGCTCCGACATCGCCTGATCTCATCTCACTCACCACCACAGTTCACAGCAATCACCCCTATGTCAGCTCATGCTTTATTTCAGCGCATCTCACTTGATTATCATCAGAAACTCAAGGAACACGTGGGAATCAGCACACATGCCAAGTCAACTCCTGGTGCTGTATAAGTTGTATCTGCGTGACGTGTTGCAAGATGCGCGTGACTGTGTAGTTACGCAAGAAAACTTGACAAAGATGCTTTGTTGAACCAGTGGATGATCTCTCACCTATTCTTTTTGCTCCTGACATCTTCACTGCGTCTTATGTGTCCTTGTCCCGGCCCCACCCTAACCTTTTCCATCCGTGCGCTCGCCCTCTTTTCAAGGTTGATTAGTTTTGGGTGTGTGCAGCTGTTGTTTGCGGAATTACATTGCTTTGTCAAAGCTGTTTGAAGCAAAGGTGGGCGAAGCTCCAGAAGTCAGAGGACTTGACAAGTGAAATCCCAGACTCGCGGTGGGACGGCGATTTCTATTGTTGCTTGAATGACGAAGTGCCCGGCAAGGTATACACCCTGCGGGGTGGCTGGCTACAGGAAAGACTTCTTTTCGGCTTCGACTACAAATATTTCCATATGCACCGTTCTGAAGCGCAGTCTATGGACCCCCAGTTCAGGATGATGCTAGAGTGCATTGCCGAGATGAAGCATGGCTGGACAACGCCCAACAACGACGGCCGAATTGCATGTATCATGGGACAAACGTCCAACGAATATTTGGCTGCATCAACTCTCCATGAGAGTCAGACTCAAACGGGAAGATTCACAAACACCGGCACGAACACATGTATGCTGGGAAACCGTGCTTGCTTTGAGTTCAACTTCCGGGGGCCCAGTTTCACCTGCGACACTGCATGCAGTTCGGCTCTCTATGCCACTATCCTTTGCTGTCAGCAGATCGAAGATGGATGTTGGGGAGGAGTGGCTGGCGGTGCGAATGCTTGCCTGTTGCCAATGACTACAATTGGGTTTTGCAAGGCAATTCCGCAGGGGAGTTCTAGGAAACGCACGAAAGCGCAGTTCTATGCGACCCGCAAAATAAACGTGAATTGTCTCCAGTTCTTTAAACATATCCTGACGTACAGCCTTTTCAGGTTGCTTTAGAAATCTGTGTTCTGCGCGAGGCTGGGATGCTTAGTCGTTCCGGCCGGTGCAAGAGCTTCGACGCTTCGGCAGATGGTTATGCAAGGGCTGAAGGCGCTGGTTGTGTTTTTTTGGAATCCGTGGATGGCGCGAACTTTCATTGGGCCTTTGTCAGAGGACGTCCTTTTCAACAATGGAGCACGTTTTGATTTTGTGTTTTCTTTTTTTTTCATGTGTCTATCCTTTGCTTGCAGTGTTTGATGTTGAAGACACTTGACCTCAAGGTGGGGTGATGTTGAACGATGGGAAGACCAGTGGGGTTGCTGTGCCATCGTTGCAGGGTCAGATTGGAATGTTCCGTGATGCTTTGAAAAGGGCCGAGATTGATGCGAGCAAAGTCGGATATGTGGAAGCTCATGCTCCGGGCACCTGGGCCGGAGACCAGGCTCGGGAGCACAGAATAGATGTGGTATGATGCTGGTGGGGGGCCTTGTTGAAGGGGCCCTTATACGCATATACTGGGTGTTTCATTCTCTTGTATGACTTGTGTCTTAGGGGCACCACTGCATTGTTTTAACTCTGAGCAGCAATCGCTGACTCAAGGGGGAGAAACGTTTAGAACACGGGGAACATCAAGACCTGCCCATTATGAAAGTAGCCCCATTGGGCCACCAGCAGGTCCACCGTTCAAACCATAGCCTAATGGACACGAGGGCCTTTGGTTCGCAAAAGGATGCAAAAGGTGTCAACGATTCAATCTGAGTTCAAATCTCCTCTACTTGGCGGATTAGCCAACACAATCCACGGCATTGAAGGCTCTTCTGCGTCTATGTTCTTATACACAAGCATCAACTTAAACCACAAAGTTCAATCAAATGTTGGCACTAGGCGCGGCCCCACCCTCCCACCCTACACACTTCCTGTAGATGGAAGCATGAAACCATGACGTCATGTAACATCGGGTTGGCTATGTGAAACGAGCTCGGCTCGGGCTGTTGAAAACTTCATCGTGCCTGTTGCCGCAGGTGGAGAGCATTGCTTTGGGCAAGACCATGGGGAGGTCTAAAGAGTCTGAGTACAATGTTCCGTTGCCCATCGGCTCCGTGAAGTCCAATATGGGACATCTGGAAGGAGCTGGCCATGCCAGGAAAATCCTTCGGGCCAGAAGTCACATTCGTGTATGAAGTGATGGAGCACCAACCAAGGTCCAGATTTTAAAGGTCTCCGCAGTAGGGCTGGCACTCTTTGAGATTCTTGCGGATTTTTTCGATCTGAAACTTTGTGATCCAGGAGCTAGCGGCATAGCTGGTATCATAAAGCTGGTATTGATGATGCGCCATGAGAGATTGGTGCCGCTGTGCCCGAGTGCCTTTCAGGAACGCCGTGAGGATGTTCCCTGGGACTCTTTGGGCATTTTTCCGTTGGCAAAGGACATGAGATGGCCTCAGGGGCCGGTGGGTTTTGTGAGCTCCTTTGGCTTTGGGGGTGCTGGAGCAGTTTGCGGCTTCGAGCGGCCCCAAAAAGCGGAAGCTTCTCGGGAGTTACAGTTTATTGGCGACACTTTCTTCATTATGAAATGTGGTAATTATATACATAAGCTTTTCTTATTGCCTTTAAAGATGGTGGGTGGACTCACTGAACATTGATATTGTCACAAAATTGCAAAGTGATTCTTGCTCCCAGGAGAATCTTCAGTCGCAGTTTTGCTTTGTCTTCAGTGGCATGGGCACGCAAGAGCCAAAGATGTTGCAGAAACTACCCGGTGGCTTGAGACCATTACTGGACTCGATGTCCGATCACCTGAAGAAGCTGGGATTCTCCTATGACCTTCTTGAACTTGAAGATGAGATCGACAAGCGAAAGAAAAGTGATCAAGATGACACAGATCTTTCGCAAGTGGCCATTTTTGCTCATCAGGTTTGCCTGGCGCATTGGCTGATAGAGATGGGAGTGAAACCTAGAATTTGCATCGGGCACAGCTTGGGTGAAGTCGCCGCATTTTATGTCGCAGAGCGCATCTCGCTGGAGACTGCAGTGGCCATCATCTACCACCGTGCTCGGCGATTGAGTTCTGTCAAGCCAGGTCGCATGATGGCGATGATGTTGGATGACGGTGACAATGCTCAGCAAATCATCCAGAGAGTTGCTCCAGACCTGGCTGTTGCTGCGTACAATTCGGCAAAAGATTGCGTCGTTGCAGGCACAGAGGAGTCTATACAGGCATTGAAGAGCTGGATGTCGAAGAAGGGAAAGCGGTTTGTGGAGCTTCATGGGGTGAAGAAGGCTTTTCATTCTCAGCACGTGCAAGAGGTGCATCGCCTGCGTTGTGGATCAAACATATATCAAAACCATTGAACACCCTATTAATATATGTCCATTTGGGGAGGTGTAGAGGGTATTTTGCTTCGGAGAAGGCAGCTGTGCCAAGAAAGCCAATTTTTTGCGTGTTGAGTCTTTTACTGTCAGTGCATGCTTTTTAATTTTGAGGCTGCTGACCATTTGGTGCGCGATGTCTCTGGCTTGGATTTGAAACCGCCGTCAAGGTTTCCAAGGCGATTATTGGTTTCAACAGTGACTGGACGGTATGTTGAAACTGCCAACGTGCAGCCGGTTGCTTGCCTTGGAGAGGAAGCTTTCGTATGGATTGAACACCTCTACAACTTACTGCAGCAGAAAGTTACATAGTAGGACATCTATTTGGGGACCCCTTCTTCAGCTAGCGGCGGTTTGGACACTTGTGCAAAGCAGAAACTTATCCATGACTTGCCCAGGCTGAATGGGCAACATATTGGGGCCGCAATCTGGAACAGCAAGTGGTTTTCTCCCAAGGCATCAAGACCATTTTGCAAGACAGCCCAGGCGCAACGTTTATCGAACCTATGATGAATCCAGCTTTGTGTCGCATCAGTTTGGATAGATGAACAAAATGTCAACCCAAATGCTTCGGGTGAACAGTTTCTTCACTCAGTGCTTTGCAGTCGGAAAGGACCAAAGGTTATGTGTCTTGGGGTTGGGCTCTTCTGCCAAGGAGCTGGCCGGACGTTCTCACTTGTCCCGGTACATTGAGATGTCGACCCCCAAGCCACGCTGCCTTAAAATATCGTGGCTGCCAGGGGGCTTTGCACTCCGCCGACCCTGGGATCGAGAAATTATGCGTTTGAGAGGATCCATCATGGAGGAACAGGCTGGGCTAGGCTGTTTGCAGGCATGATTTGGGTTCTGCATGGTGCTCATAATGAGGTGCCTTATGATGCATGTCATACTTTGCACTTACAGTAACAATAATGTATCTGCAGCTGAGGCCACAACTGCAATGCAAGCAACAACTGCAACAGCAACTAGAAACACAACTGGAACTATAGCTGCAACTACAAGCGTCGCAGCAGCTACAGCTGGAAGGTCAGACAGCCATGAGTGCACTGTCACGCTGTCCTTTAGAATCAATATGAATTTACTTTCATGAAACTTTCTGCCTGTGTGCAAGTTCATAAATTGCAGAGGGGGCAGCAGGATGTTTCTGAGCAGATCTTTAATGATGCCAACATCCCCCAACCTGACCTACTCAAAAACTCACAGATTCCTACATATGTATATTATACAAAGTTATACCAGAATTATGTTTTAGGTGTTTCTTGGTGGACTACCCTCTTCTTGCCTACACAACCTTGGCAACATTTTGACAAAGCCATACCAGGATACCGTTGTCGGAAGCAGCATACGATCTACAGATTCGCTCAGCCATAAGAGATACTTCGGACCTCTTCCCCCCACGACCAAATTTTGGGTTGCTGGGGACCTTCCATACCATTCTTGTAGGCTAAACGGAAAGCTGGTCAGGGGTCACTAGCTTAGACTGTAGTGATGTCAACTCTTTGCAACTAATTATATGCGTCGTGAATTGCCAAGGTCCGTAATTTTTGTTGCAGCATGTGGAACGGGTCCATAAAATTGGTTGCGGCTTCCATCAGCAACAGGAGTGTGGAAAAGGTGTTGTTCATTTTTCCATCTTCTTCACGGTTCTGGAGAAATGACCATGCAGGTCTTGTGGCCTGTGCAGAACGAGCACCCGTTGTTGGGAGCAGCGCTGGATCTGGCAATCGACTGTGGCAGACAGCAGGTGTTCGAAAATGCACACTTTTCCATAGAACGGGCTCCTTGGATGGCAGACCATGTCATTCAGGGGCAAGTCATTTGCCCCGGCATGGCCTTCGTGGAGATATTTGTGGAATGCGCGAGACAAACCGTGGAGGCCCTTTGTGCCTGACGTGAAAAACAAGCTCTCAGTGCTGCTTCAGTATCAGTAGCAGGCTACTAGGAGCAAGGACGCTACTAGGGGCTCCTGGCCGTACTGAACTAGAAGCAAGAAGCTACTAGTTGTGTCAGGTGGAGCTTCCGGACATTGAAATCTGTGATATTCACTTCGAGACGACGCTGGCAATGAAGATGGCAAAGCAGCTTGGCTGTTTGAGCACAGTTGCGAGATTCAGATCCAGAAGTTTTTTCGGAGTATCCGCAGCTTGTTCAAATTCGTTTGGAGGAGGCGTGTTTCAGAAATAATTCATAATTAATTGACTCGTGTTTTTGCGCACGTCCTTTTGCATCCTTCTAGATGGGCATGAGGGGCTTGAAAGAGGGACCACCTTGCAGAGTAGCATGCCAGCGTGTCTTTCTATATTGTTTTATGCTTGGTATTTGACTCTGCTTTTGAACCTTGAGAGGAACAGGTTCCTGTAATTAAGATGTCGCGACATTCTGAAGCAACCAACACACGACCCAAAAAAGCAGGGAACAAATTCCTAACGCGAGAAAACCTCATGCCCTTGTAGCTCTTGCACACTCCTTAGACGCAAAGTTATGCAATCCGCTGGGAGGGTGAAGCACATCAAACACGGGAACTTCAAGTATCCACTAGTTCCCGAATCAGGCTGTTTCAATATCATGGTTTCCGAATCCGTTCGATTGGACTCAAAAGGAGGCCACGAGCCGGATCAACTTCAAGGGAAAACATTCAAATCATGGTTGTCCTTCACACCACACTTGTAGTGAGTGTGATTTGCATAGATTGTTTGGCAAAGGGCTTTTCTGATCTAAAGCTGGAACAGCGAAATCAGCGACCTTGAATGATAGAAACCACGAAAGCTGGAGACAGCCCCTTGACGTGCAACTTGCAAAAATTGGAAGAAGAAGTTCCAGATGAGAATGTTCGATGATTTTTCACAAAGCAGACTCTCAGATTCCAAGAATACCTGCAGACAACATACGTAGCGTAGCTATACTAGAAATTAGACAGGGCAACTTGCAAACCAAGATTCTCCACTTGCTGTCGATTCAGGTCATTTGAAGAGCTTTTTCTGCAGATCCTTTGTATACTAAGTATCGTCCATGCAACGCAATACGGATGAACAAAGCTGATAGGTATCGATAAGGTTAAACTGTAGTGTCAGTGTCTCAATCAAGCCAACTCGCAATGGCAACCCAGAACATCTCTCACGTTTGAAAATATGTCCTAAATTCCAGAGACTGTGAGGAATCTCATTGTACTTCCCATGGATAACGCCGCTTGCTCAGGTTCAACAGCAGGTTCGGCTTCTTGGTTATTGGCTCGCCTCCTTTCCTGCTGCCCGCTTGCTGTTGTTCTGGTTGCTTCCCTCTAGTAAAGATTTATCTCATTTTGCTTGCAGTAATGGCATGACTGTTGTGTGACTTCAAGCAAAATCGTATTCATTCTGCTTCAAGAATTTCAAGTCTTCCGAGAACCTAACCAAATACTCCTCAGTTGAACGGGCCCAAATATTTCATGCGTTCAGTTCGGACCTACGTCCATGTCCCAGCGGACCATACTGATCTGGCGCGACCTCAAGAGCCAATAATCGTTGTGTCGACGCGAGCTACCAAAATGTCGGTCAGTCAGCAAGGGTACCAGTGACGCCCTTGATAAAAAAAAGGCAAGCTTTTGATAGCCTCTTGTGTCCCTGGATCCTGTCTTGGGCATCTCGTGCATTTGATGGTCATGAGTCATGACCGAGATGCAGTGGCATGGTCTTATCCTGTTTGGATCAGCGACTGTGCTGTCGTGACCATGGCAGAACGAAGCCATTGTCTGAGCTTCGCGGGAATTACCATGAGGCAAAAGAAGTCAAGCAGCATTGTCCGTGGTGAAAAACATTTGACTCGCTTTGGAGAAAAATCTCTTGGGTCCTTTTGAAGAGTAAGAACGCTTCCTTTGTGAGTTATAGTATTTTCCACAAATTGTTTCGTGTCACGGGATCATACGGGGTCCAAGAATCCAAACGTTGCGGAAGTAGATGAGACTCGCTCCTCCATTTCATCATGTGGGACTGGGCCACATGAACCTGTGGCCAAAGGCGCACGTTTTGCAAAGCAAGGACTCCATGTACTTTTGAAGTACTGCGCACCACTTCCAAATGTATCGGCTGCCGTCAAAGCTCCATCCTCAGAGCTCCGTTTGTATGCACCTCCTTCATCCGGTTTGTTCTTCTAGGTCAAATTACTTGCTCTGTCCTTCCTTATGTGTTCTTTGGCAGGACTTGACTTGCTGCGCGTTGAATTGTTGGGTGTTGGTGCAGTGAGCTTCGTGAGCTTTGATTCAAGCAAATGCGACTCGCTGGTTTTTCACCATGAAGCGTTGTCTTCTTCCGACAAAAGAATCGATTAGAAAATTATAGACAAGCAAAACTAAGAAAGACCTTGGTAACAAGTGATGAAGATGAATCATGATATGACAAACAGTGGAGGTCATTCACCATGTTTGGGCAGTGTAATTTGTGCATGACCTTTTGTTAGACTGGTATGGAATGCTAGCTAGACTCAGATTTGCCCCTCTCGCTTGAGGTCGGTAAAAACGCACACATGTTTTGATCTACTTGGGCGGAATATTACTTTCCACAGCATGGCTGAGCGGAACGGCAAGAAATGGCAACGACATTGCCGAGCTACTGTGGCTCACAACGATGCCCCTTGTGTTCACAAGTGTGACTTGCAGAAGAAGGCAAACGGCTGGCCATCAATTTCGTCTGAAGAACTCTACAAGAAGCTGTCCGATTTCTTTCAGCTCCACAGAACCTTTCAGGGCATTAGAAAATTGTTTCATCAGGCAGGGCAGACGGAAGTGATTTGTGAAATCTCCTTGGATGAAGGGGAGAGACGCAGAGCTCAAAGCTTCAACATTCACCCAGCGCTCTTGGACAGCATCATTCAGAGTGGGTTGGGGCTCATTTGCGTTAGTGGCGGAGACTTCAGGGGTGTGCCCTTCCACTTGGGCAAGTTTCGTCTCATGAAGAGGAGGGAGAACTTCCCGTGTGACCTACGCACATGGTGTCAAGGAAGAAGTGTTGACAACGGCTTCTACCTCAATGTCCAGGCTTTTGACATGAATGGCGAAATTGTGTGCTCCGTCCAGGATTTGTTCTTCAAAAACATTTGGGCACTGGTGCCGAGCCCCACAGTCAAGCTGGATCTAGAATGGAGGAAACTTTGGGGCGACGACCTTGAGGCGGTGAGCATGAATGTGGATAAGCAGCATTGGCTAGTGATTTGGCCTGGGCAAGAGGAATTTTCTGAGCTGACTCTTTTTGAAGGTATCAAGCAAGTGGTGCGCGCCACACTTGTGCGTGAGTTTCCTTTGGAGAGTGCCGCATTGAAAGGGATCACCCACACTGCTGTCATTGCTGAAAGTCAGATGACACAGGCGGGTTGGGCTTTGATGGAAGATGAGCATGATAGGTGCCTCAATGGTTGCCGCAATTTGTTTGGCCTTCGAGGGATCGAGAAGAATGGAAAAGCTAGCAACGTTATGTCTCCTTTGATTGCAATGACCCTTCAGTGTTTGCATTCGTTTGCGTATAAGACTTGCCAAATGTGTTGGGATGGTGGACTTTGCAGCTGGCTGAGCCAGGATCCAATGTTGTACCTGGACAAAGCATTTCACTTTATTCGCTTCTACCAGTCTTGCGATGGCTCGGCTCTCAGTTGGTTTTGACGGTTCTGAAAGAGCATTGCATTTCAGCAGAAGTCCCTCGCATGTTTTGCTTCAGGCTTGGGCAGGAGCTTGTCGATCACCTTAATTACTCAAGGAGGTGTTGCTTTGCCAGATGAAGAACAGGATGTAGATCCAATTCAGAACATGATAGGCCATTCATGTCTGACAATGGCCCACGAGACAAACCAGCTTGCAATTCGGTGGCTGGACATGCCTCATGTTTCATCCATGGGGTCTTCGAGAAAGGAATGCGTTGATGCAGTAGCAAGATGCTTGATCCAGTGGCCCCGCAGTTCCTCCGAGTTGGTGCTGCGTTTTGAAAAGGATGGTGCGCAGTTGTTTGGTGCCTCCTTGCGTGAAACACCCTGGGAAGCGACCAGTCCTTTGATTTGCCTGGAGACAGCCCCACTGGAGCATACCCTTGATTTGAAGCCAGGGCTTTCCTTCAGCGTGCAACAACAATCCGGAGTGTACGTGTTGACATGGTCTGGAGGTGAAACGTTTCCTTTGCCCTTTGACATTGACCCTCACAGTGTGCTGAGACGCTTGAAGGATTGGCTTGTGCCCGCACTTCTGCGTCAATTTGACATGGAGGGGCAACTCGTCTTGCTTCAGGGCATTGTCGGCGATCTGGAGATCAACAGACTAGACAAGTTCTGTCAAAAGATGAAGTGCACGAGGATCCTGCTCATTCACAATGAGCTAGACAGCTCTCCCCAAAGTTGTGGGAAGGTGTTGATGGTCAGTCCCACGGATATTTTGGAACATGTGGTAAAGTTTGATAACGACACCGGATTCATCAACCTTGCTGGCTCAGATGAAGTCTTTGCGCAAATTGGGTCCCTATGCTCTGGCCACGTGACAAACCTGAACAGCCTGAGCTTGCGGGCGATTTGCAAACTATTGCCTGAGAGCATCCGACTAATCCTCCAGGAAGACCTGATGATGCGAAGCTTTGATGCGCAGCAGACCACCCCGCTACCAGGGGCAAGTGTCCAGGTTCGTTCGGATGGAACTTATGTGGTCGCAGGTGGCACCAGGGGCCTGGGCTTGCAGCTGGCAAGGTGGCTCAAGGATCACGGTGGGAAAAACGTCGTAATCATGGGAAGACACAGGTTTGGCTCTGAGTTCCTGACATTTTGCGGTGCAGCTCAGAAGACCAGCAACATACTCGGGTTCTGTTTCTCAATCAGAAGGATTCAGCAAAGTATCGCTCAGGCCGGAGGACTTGCCTGACATGTTGCTTTTCGAGGCTGGGCACCAGGCTGACTCTAGCTGTTTGGAGACTTTGTTTGCTCTCCAAATGCAAGGAATCAAGTTTTGCACGCAACCTTTTCGAATTGGAAGTGTAGCAGATTAAGATGCAAAATGCAAAGATGTTTGATGGTTCAACCGGCTCAGCTCGTTCTTTTGATCAGCTCATCAACCACCCTGTTTGTAAAGGAGTGCGACATCACCGACGCTGACTTGGTGAGAGAGGTGTTGAGCAAGGCTGGACCGCCGCGCGTGTAAATTGAACATAATTATTATGTATTGGTTTGGAAAGGCAGCAACCTAGACAACTCGGACAAAGAACTGAAGACTTCACTTTTCCTCCAAAGGTTCCTTCGCCGGTTTGTGGCCTGATCTCTGTGGCTACGGAGTATCACGACAAGCCGTTGGTTGAAGTCAAATGTGCAGAGGACCTGTCACGGGCCATCAAAGCCAAGACGCTTTGTTCCCTTCACTTGCACCAAGCCAGCCAGAAGCTATGCCTGCACTTTGAGAGTAATTAATCACACCTTCGGAATGTCGTTTGTTTGTGAATTCCTGCAAGTATAAATCGCTACACAAGATGTTCTTTCAGACGCGTCCTTCTGCGAAGGCTGGTGAAGAGCACCACCAAGACGTTTGCAAGAGTTGTTTGCGAAGCCAGTTTATGACTTTATTTACTTGTCAAAAGGTAGCTGCTTTATTTATATATTATGCACAGATGCATGCTCCACAACCCACTGTATACATGCATTGTGAGAAAGTGGACATTCCCGATGGTATCAAAGCAATTTGTTCTCCCAAAAGCAGTGAGTATCACATAATGACATCTCGGCTAGCATCATGCAAACTCACAGGACAGCACGACAGGTTACTACTGTAATCCATGTCACGAGCTGAATATGACATTTGAAGATCGTTCAGGCTCGACTGTCACATGCTATGCGCATGCGTCTTATTCACACCCCGGGAAATGGATCGTTCCGGAAAGCGTTTGTTGTAATTCGCTATAATGGTGCGTGCAATGCCTGTCTCTTACTGGCGGATCGTTTTGGAACGCGGAGCGTGTTCCAGTTTCCAGGACTTCCACGGTTTCCAGGTTTCCAGCCAGCGTGTGGGTTCCCACGGTTTCCAGGCAGCGTCATGGTGTCCACGGTTTCCATGTTTGCACGGTTCCATGGTTTCCAGGCAGTGTGCGGGTATCCACAGTTTCCATGGTTTCCAGGTTTCCAGTCTGCGTGCCCGCCCGCACGGTTTCCATGGTTTCGACGGTGTCCATGGTTTCCACATTGTGGGATGATGTATGGCCCCACCCCCACCCCCCACCCAGGCGAGTGTGTGAGCCTGCAATGCTATAGGCCCCACCTCCAACCCTGGAGGATGCAGGCTGTTGAGGGCCTGCTTGTCCTATTCCTCCCTACCGCCGTCCCGCCCATTAGATTGGGAATGGCACTGGCTTGTGTACGCGGTTGGAAGGCCGAGAAGCCTCTTGACGAGCGCCTGCACACACTCAAATGCCAAGCATGACAATATTCAGCAAAACAGCCTGACAAACTAGGAAAAAGGATGAAAAAGGTGTCATTCCAAGGTAGCGAGCCACCTGAGGGTAGAGGAAGGTGCCATTTCAACGGCGCTGAGAGTATAGTTCCCCACATTGTTGTGTGGGGTTCTTGTTTTTTTGCTGCACCTCCTCGCTCGTCCTCCTCCTTCCTCCTCCTTCCTCCTTCCTCCTCTCTAACTACAACATCTCTCACACAACATCCCACACACAACATCTCTCACACAACATCTCTCACAACAACATCACTCAGACAACATCCCACACACACAACGTCTCGCACACAACATCACTCACACAACATCTCTCACAACAACATCTCGCACACAACATCACTCACACAACATCCCACACACAACGTCTCGCATACAACATCACTCACACAACATC